CCTTGCCCTGTGCACAGTTCGGGGGGCATGTGGCCCCCCATGCTGCTTCCGTGGGTGTGTGCAGTGGCAGGAACCGCCCTGTCCCCTCCCCATGTCTCCCGGATGAGCTGCTCAGGATTCTTTCCCATGCTCTGCCTCAGCTAGGCAGTCCCTCCCCCTGCCCCACCCCTACTACCTCCCTCTCTCACCGTGAGGGCCTTGATCTGCACACCCCCCCATGCCCTTTCCCTTCCCCACCCCTCTTCCTTCTAACAGACTTACCAGCTTGACACTGCTCTCCAAGCTGCCAGGCTGCATATCAGCAATTGGATCAGTATTGGCCGATATGGCTTGTTAATAATTGGCCGTCGGTACTGGCCCAAAAGATCTTTATCGGTGCAACCCTATCTAGTACATTTTGCTCTGATAGATCTGTGCTATGGGAATGGAATGTGTGGGTTAGAAGAGGAAGCATCTATTTTCTTTTGTTGATTGTAATAAAATAGCAGTATATAGCAACAGCTTAAGTTCCATGTACTTATTAGACTCCACTAATTGATCTGTTTCTTTAAAATTATATTTTGCAGCCACTGCATGCTTAAGACAAAGTGAATACTTTTTTTGCAAATAATTTTCAATAATTCTTATCACTAGAAAATACTAGCACATTTCAGTCTTTGACCAGGCAGTACAGAAGAGCCTGCCTTTTCAGATGCAAGTGAAGCAGAAGTCTGGGACATAGTGCTGGCTGCGTTCAGTAAAAACTATGAAGCATTTGTACCACCATGAGGATATTGGAGGAACAAACTATTTATGAAGAGCAGATTTATTTGAGCACAGGGTTTTAACGGTAGAATTCTGAGGCATTCATTTTGACCTGATTGCAGATGTTGGTATTAAAATATTTGGAATGCTGTGCAGTGGAGAAAAAGAGATCTTCAGTTACCATGTTAAGTGAGTGGGACTCTTCACTCAGGTTCCAAGACTTGGCCTTCTTAAATAGGGATCCTGTTCTACAAGACTAGAAATATGAATTTCGGATCTATGAATACAGATACTCAAAAAATTTTAATTGTGTAATAAGTGGTTCAGTATGCTAACTGAATATTAACCAAGAAAGAGAACAGTCTTGATCCTGTAATGTCAGGAAGATGTTTTACATGACTATATAATTGTTGAGATAACTGGTTTTACAACAACCAGAAGTATGGGAGGCCCTTTTAATGGTACCCATAGAAAGATACGTTTACTGCTGTGTAGAGCCGTGATTCTCAGCCAGGGTACCTAAGGTGTCAGGTTACCCACATTTCATAGTTTGTAGGGTCAGAAGGGACCTGAGCAGATCATCAAGTCCGACCCCCTGCCATGGCAGGAAAGAGTACTGGGGTCAAACGACCCCAGCAAGGTGTTCGTCCAGCCTCCTCTTAAAGACCCCCAAGGTAGGAGCCAGCACCACTTGGCTTGGAAGTTGGTTCCAGATCCTAGCCGCCCTGTCAGTGAAGTAGCACCTCCTGATGTCTAATCTGAATCTACCCTCTGCCAGCTTGTGACCGTTATTTCTAGTCATTCCTGGTAGCGCTCGGGGAAACGGACTTCCCCAGTGCCTGCTGGTCCCCTCTGACTAGTTCGTAACAGGCCACTAGATCCCCCCTCAGCCTTCTCTTGTGGAGACTGAACAGGTTCAGGTCCCGTAGCCTCTCCTCGTAGGGCCTGCCCTGCTGCCCCCTGATCATGCAAGTGGCCCTCCTCTGGACCCTCTCCATGTTGTCCACATCCCTCCTGAAGTGCAGCACCCAGATGTTACTGCCAGGTCCTTTGAAGGGTACCGTGAGATGCGAAGAGTTAAGCAGGTAAGTCAGGCTCAGGCTTGTCCCTGCCTGGATGATCCCCACCCCTACTGCACAGTCCCTATGTAAGGAGGTAAACATTGTAATATATACATTAATTTTTTTTAATTTGGTGCCGCTCAATTCAGAAAATGTATGGAGGGGTGCCTCAAGTCCAAAAAAGTTGAGAACCACTGCTGTAGATCTTACAAATATAGATACTAGACAGCAATGACTTGATATCAGTAGGATTAGGGGAAGCAATAGTTACACAACTATTCAAGTTAGGCTCAGGCATCCTGGTGAATTAGGTGAACATATGAAGTTGTAGTCTTAGTCATTAAAGGTGGTGTGGAGAAACTGAGTAGTATGTTTTTGAGGTTATGGCTTGGCTTACAGTTGCAGCAGGTAGAAAATACAAACACACTCATTGGAAAAACACATAGAAGGCCACCAAGATGAGCTCTCTAACATCTTTAAAGACTATAATTTTGAGAGAGCACATCTAAAAGATGCTCTTTCGTTCAGGAGAAAGTATCTGCAAATAGTCACCAAGCCTGCTTGATTACAATACTTCAGCACCATGAAACAAAAATACATTCAGAATATGCTTTACAGGTTGCTCCTCTGCAGTTTGCAGTTTTATGAAAATCCACATCAAATTCTTAAGTGTTTGTGACTTCCGTGTTTATTTCAGGAATTCTCATTTTTTTCATAGACTAGACCCCATCTTAATAGAGGGTCGCTTGAATGCTCCTGGTCTTTTTTCCATAGTTCCTTTATATTGTATTAACTTGAAAAGTTTCTTTGTATGAAGAAATATTATTAGGAGAGTATTTAGAGCTAAATCCACAGACTGACATAGGAACACTTAATGTTTAAGATCCTGTCACCTACTGAAGTCCTCAGCTCAAGCTTTCTACATGATGCATAGAGAGGTTTAGGTGAATATAAAATGGAATTCATAGAAGCTGGCATGCTGATTGGGCAGCTGCTTAAACGAAGTTGTATGAAATACTGAAGTTTCAGAACTAAGCCCCATCCCTCAAAGGTGTGAAGTGCTTAACTCTTGGTCAGCAATGCCTGTTTCTGGTTGGTATTCTGAGTTAAGTAAGTTTGTCTTGGAGTTAGGTCCCTAAATTAAGCCACCCCTTTATTGTGGGGGGAGGGGGAGTTGAGAAAAAGGGCTGAGGGAGACCACATTACATCCAGTAGGCTCTTAATCTGGAAGATGGGAGTCCCTGCATTCAGATCCCTCCTTTACTTGTTTTAGGGCAGGGACTTGAATCTGTTACTGGCCCATCCCAGGTGAGCATCTCTAAGTATCGGGCTATAAAGTTAATCTCCCTCTGGTCCATTGAATAATACAAAGTAACTTAAAAGCGCTCTGCTTTGATTGCTGTTCTAGCTTTGATTCTTGCTTGCAGCACTAGTGGCATTTCTTTTCAGTCAGTTGAGGGAATCAGTTGACTTAGTGGTTCATTGTTCTTTATTCCACAGGTGTTAAGATCATCTCTCCTTCTTAACTGTCTTGATGTTCCACTGATTAAGCTAACCTTTCTTCTGGCAATTTTACTCTTTTAGATATTCCTGCCCTGTCTTTTCTTATTTCACAGCCTTGCAAACTGTTTTTAGCTCTTTTTAAAATAATAGATCCACCCATGGAAACCAGCCTTTAGCATCAGCTAGGGTTCCACCTTCTGGCTAAGCAGAAAATGGGGTGGTAAATCAACTAAAGATTAGGCTCTGTCTCCTCTATGCAGCCATAACTTTTGAAAAATCTTTTTTGCTCAGTTCTGCCTTCTCAAAAACAAGGTGTATGTCTTGTCTGGGGGTTTGTTGTATGCAAGAAAATACCATATTTTAATACAGATTGGTGCCTGGAAATAGAACCAATACCAGCTAGTTCTGTATGGACTGGGCCTGGTTTAAAAAACATTGATTCCATATCAGTATTTTAAGATGAGAAAAAAAGTGTTTTGTTGTTTTCTGAGACAAATGGATAACTACAGACTCCCAATCAGAATTGCCAGCTTATAAAGTTGTAAACAACTCTATTTACCCAGCATGGCTTAATCTGTCAGAAGTCTCAAAATTATAACACATGGCTGTATCTAGAAGGCAGTGATAACAGGCTAAATAAGAGAGAATATTTGTGCCTTTGTAGGAAGGCCTGCACAAACATGACAACCCATAGAAATTGCTCAAATGATGCTTCCCCACCATTCATATTTTGAAAGCACAGGCAGTAGTCTAGTGTTCAGCATGTGAGCACATGCTACAGTTTCAGCAAACATTTTTATTTGTTTTAGGAGTCAAACATTGATTCCATAAAAATCATATGCTAAGCTATGGAAATGTACAAAACACCTTTTGTAGATGAGCCTACGAACTTCATTTTATAAATCTACTGGATGCAAAAAATCATGGACTCCATATAGACATTGGATTTATGACACATTACAACCTGCCTAACATCTGATCCACCAGGTACCTGCCTGACCTGACCTCATACTTTTCTTTTTTCCCTCCCCTTTCTCCCCTCACCTTCCCTACTTTTCTGCCCTTTGTCTTCCTAATTTCCAGCTATTTCCTTTTTATAGCCTCTTTTCCACCTCAAATTACTACTACTGTAGAGTCTCCCTTACTCAACTTTGGCCTTTCCCTGCTGTACCTTTTGTTTCCCTAATTTCTACCTATTTACATTCTAACTGACACCCTGCCACACTTTTGGCTTCTCTTATTCCTGGGGTCTCAGAACAGCAGAGACTTCTTATGTCTGAAGAAGGGTGATCACCCCCAAAAACGTGCTAAGAACTTTTTTCCAACTATGCAGTCGGTCTAATAAAAGATATCGCATCTACCCAAAGAACCTTGCTATGCTATACAGTATGCACTCAGGCAGTGACATTAGGAATTTATTTTCAATGATTTACTGCTTCCATTCTAGGAGTGGAATCTCCTGTTGCATAGGAAAACTGGTCTGCTTTTTCTTTCTTGAATACTGAGTCTACTTGAGTAATGCACATCTTTGCATTTTTCTTGTGATAGATATCTAATGACTCCAATACAAACAGACCTGTAGATGCCCTTAGTCAGGATGCCTTTTGGATGCAAGTTGAGGAAAGAGCAAGGAGTAGAACGTACTTGCTTTAATGTCAGCATGCAAAGCTTCAGGACCTGTGGATTGTCTTTCTAAATACTTTTTTCTATGCTTATATGTGTATCTATTATGGATTTATTTTTTAGACATTTTTAAATAATTCACACAAATTCTTCCTATTAAAGCTTGGCCAGCAATATATAAACCCAGGAATTAAATGGTTTATCCCACAGGAAGTGTTTAAAACAAAAATTCAGTCAGGCATTTAAAATGTATAGAAACTAAACATTGAGGTATACCAACTTTTTTTGGGGGGGGGGGGGG